CCGCCCACTTTGAACATGCCCCGCCCACCGATGACAGCTGGCCTCCACTCCTTCAAACACCTCCATCCACCCTTTTCTCTGCCTCCGGGACTTCTTGGAGCCGAGTTATGAACATTCATCGCAAACTCCGCCCACTTTGAACATGCCCCGCCCACCGATGACAGCTGGCCTCCACTCCTTCAAACACCTCCATCCACCCTTTTTTCCCTGCCTCCGGGACTTCTTGGAGCCGAGTTATGAACATTCATCGCAAACTCCGCCCACTTTGAACATGCCCCGCCCACCAATGACAGCTGGCCTTCACTCCTCCAAACACCTCCATCTCCACCCTTTTTTCCCTGCCTCCGGGACTTCTTGGAGCCGAGTTATGAAACTTTCGTCGCAAACTCCGCCCACTTTGGTCAAGCCCCGCCCACCATTAATAGCTGGCCTCCACTCCTCCACCCACCTCCACCCACCTTTTTCCCGCCTCCGGGACTTCTTGGAGCCGAGTTATGAATTTTCGTCGCAAACTCCGCCCACTTTGGTCAAGCCCCGCCCACCGATGACAGCTGGCCTCCACTCCTCCACCCACCTCCATCCACCTTTTCCCGCCTCCGGGACTTCTTGGAGCCGAGTTATGAATTTTCGTCGCAAACTCCGCCCACTTTGAACATGCCCCGCCCACCAATGACAGCTGGCCTCCACTCCTCCAAACACCTCCATCCACCCTTTTCCCTGCCTCCGGGACTTCTTGGAACCGAGTTATGAACTTTCGCGCACTCCGGCCCACTTTGGTCAAAGCCCCGCCCACCATGACAGCTGGCCTCCACTCCTCCTCCATACACCTCTATCCACCTTTTTCCGGCTCTTTAAGACTTCCCCGACCCGAATTATGAGGGCTTGTAGAAAATGCTGTACACTTCAGAGCGCGCCCCGCCCATTCTGGGCGGGCCTCCGCCCACGTCATGTATGCAGGAAACACCTTAGACATTGCTCCCTTACACCAAATTGTTTTCTGCTCTGTAGGCTTTCTCCCAACCGAGTTATGAAATTTTTCATAAAGCACTGCTTTTTTAGAGAACGCCCCGCCCACCGGGGGTGGGTCTCCCTAATTCGATGTGACTTACCAATGCACACCTTTACCCACTTTTTGGCCCAGTTTCGAGGTCGTTTTGTCACTGAAATCGAAATCTTGGTCTTCGGTACAATTCATTTCGACGCACGCCACGCCCTCTGTGGGCGGGGCTCCGCTTAGCTGATGTGTGTTTTGTATTACGTGAGACCCTGCCCACCCATCCCACACTTGACCCGGTCCCTCCAGGTGGATCCCGAGGAGCTAGGGAATTTCGTGACAGACATACAGAACGACAGACGACAGACGACAGACGACAGACGACAGACGACAGACGACAGACGACAGACGACAGACGACAGACGACAGACGACAGACGAAGCGCTTTATAGTTAGTAGGGAAGGTAGGGATGCTTGAGGCATGATTGGTGTCCGCGGCAGATAGCGCTACGTATCTATCTAGCCATTGAGGGTTTCAGTCCCCATTCTCGCTTGGGTCCAACAATCTATTCATTGCCATGATTTAATGCCAATAAACGGTACCTATCGCCTTTGAAGAGAGAACCTTTTTCATACATTACGGTTTGGCCATTGCTAACTGAATAAATGGACGTGCCGATCCCATTCGAATTTTCATAAGTTTTGGGATGAAATGAGACATAAAGTAATATGAATTGTGTGACGCGCACGTGTGTGTTGATACTTTTACAGCAAAACAAAACTATTAGAAACAACTTAGAAAGAGGAAACAATATGTACTACTGCAAATTTGAAGATAGAGAACGAGAAGGCGGACCTACTCGAAAAATACCGCCGTGTGCTAGCAGATTCTTGGTAAATGGGTGGAAAAGAAGGTTCCACACTTCAAAAACTTCCTCATTCTCTTGTTCAAGGACAATTGTAAAGCAGTCTATCATTTTGCAGGTTTCCTGCTTTTTTTTTTTTTCAGTAAAGGCCCATTTTCTCTTCACAATAGACATCATTCACTTCAACAATGTCTTTGTCCTCTATTGGGAAGTGCTTGCAGGAGTTCCTGAGGGATTTCATCATAAAAAGGCTTTGTTCACGCCTTTAGCCGGCTTGATTTTTTTCAGGTATTTAGCAAGCCATTTAGGCAACAAATTTATGCGATCGCCTGTATTTGTACGACTACATTACGCTGGGGTAGCTTTTCAGGGTTAGTGATCAGAGGCCGTTGTACACTGCAGCGGAGCTTCTACTCCGTTTACGCCCAATGACAGGATAACGACGATCATCTGCCCCAATCTTCCCAAACAGGCAAGCAGGTAACAGCATTCACTCTGACATCTACAAAATGATGGCAAGTAATAGAGATCATGGGACTGCTAAGCTCATAAACGAAATCGGAAACGGAACACGAAGTTAATATCCAAAAAATAAGCATTGCAGCTTACCTCAGAAAGAGTTAAAACCGTCGTCCAGTTTTTGCACTGGAAACGCTGTGGCATAGATTGTGCTGTCGCTTTCTTTGGTACCAATTGAGTAAGCAGTACTATTTGAGAGGCCTTTCAACTCCCCTCCCCCCGCCCCCTCGGGTAGCTCGATACTGTCTTAAAACCGAAAACGGCGCAGACCGAATCCAGTTGAATAAGCTATTGTGGCCGAAAAATAGTGAAACAAAAAAACAAAAACAACAAACGGTACCTTTCAAAGGGAGACAACGTGAGGCGATGCGTTTTCCATGCTGAAACGCCAAATTTTTGTTCACAGAGAGCACTTACTTGGAAGGAAATTCGATAGCTAACTGACCGAACGCGCACACTGCAACATTGCCAAACGAGCGGCCTTACATTCCCATAAGATTTTACTAATGAGTATTGACACCTATAAAGTAGCGAATTTGAAGTAATCGACGTTAAGCGGAGGCTACTCCCAAAAAGAGACTGCTATTTACAGAGTGAAGACTTACGCGTCGCTCCGTTTTCGGGTACTGACTATGGATTCGCATAAGAAGAAACTGTTGTAGGTGAGCTACAGTGGCAGCTTCATCCACAAACAAATAAAACGACGACAATTCCCGCGTGGAGATTATGCGTGACGATGACTTCGGATTACGATTCGGCCGCAGTACCACTTCCACAATTCCGCGTCGCTTGTCGATTAAGAAATAAATGATGGCGTTCCTGAAAAGGAATTTTCTGGGTGTATTTCAATGACAGTTTCTATAAAGTGGACAACAAAATTAGCTTTAAGGAAGATCCACTCTTGAAGGAGAAGTAAGGGAGAGAGAAAGACATAAGATCTAAGAGTTCATTTGTTTTTATGGAATCCATCTTCAACGTGCTGCCCCTGCTCTATATTGTGCATAAGAAGCTTGCTTACAAACACCCCTTCTCTTACGGCCGATTATTTCGGAGAAGCAAATGAGAGGAGTTTTCAACATTCACCTAAGTGGGCGGAATTCAGAGAACCCAAAAAGGAGGTCGTTCAGGACGTGGAGCGCTTTCCAAAATGGTTTGTTCGAAATGATTAATAGGTCAGAAACATAGCAAAGACGTCAATTTCTTAAATCGCGACCTTTCGTAAACAAAAAAAGCGAACAAAAAACATTGTTGCGGCACGCAAATTTGCAGGCTAAAAAGTACTTCAATGGCAGCTAAAGATTGTTGAATTACTCGAGTATGGAAGGTGGCGGTGAACACAAACGAAAACTATATTGAGTTGGCCACGAATAATGTGAACACACAGAGGTGATTTGAAATCTGTTTACCAGCCCACAGGTACTGCTCGAGAAGTTTGAAGTAAAGCTCCTCTTCGTTCTTTACAGTTATATAAATAAATCTTCTACCAAATATACACAACAGACAGCAAATGACCGAGAGGACACGCGCAAAGACAAAGCGGTAGGTGCTCCACTGGGAGAAGCGATGCATGTCGTACCTATTGCTCCTCATGTTACAATAGCCTAACCCGTCTCCAAGGGACGGCGACTGGGCGTCAAGAATGCGAATAGGACCATTTCCGGTCGCACGTGCGATTATCAGACTGACTACCACATAGGGTGGCCGGTTGATATTCCCCGAAGCTCTTTACAAATCGACCATTGGCATATATGGCGGGCTGCTAACCTACCCACGGCACACTCTTTCGAAGTTAAGTCCAAATTTTTCCTGTCTCTTCGGCTATAGGGGTAGTCAATCGTTCTGATCGCCGGTCAGATGATTACCCATGCTGGACGACCCCCACGTGCCCTATGGGCTGGTCCATTGTTGCAAACCAACCGTGTAGTACAATCAATAATTTGGAAGCGCCCACAGGTAATAAGATTATTTGGCAGCGTCGAATCTTTGTGGCTGGAAATCTTAATAATTGAGCTACCGATAGCCTTGATCATAAGTGCGACTTGAACTCAAGACGCTAACTCAAGCCCCGATATGGTGGCACAAATCCAAACGCAAAAACTTGCAAGCGGGATCGAAAGTTATTACGCCACTTTATCACCCCTTTATCTGCACCCAGAGTGCCGTTTAGCAAAAATGTAGCTCACCTCCACGTTCCTCTCATTCACCTAATAAAACGCAACAAACCATTTTTAAAAAGCGCTTCACGTCCTGAACGACCTCCCTGGTAACCTTGGGCATGAACAGTTTTGCCTAAACCCAGGAATGGGAAGGATTTCTGTTGTCTGCTTGAACTACTGCACTGATTTACTGCCCAAAGTGGCACGAATTTCGTTACCATCCCTTCGAAAAAAACTGTAACACCTGGTCCAAACCAAGTATCTCCATAGAATGTGAAGTTACTAGGATAAAAATCTAGAGACTTTAGCCTGTGCTGAAAGGCCTTTCTTCAAGCATGCAAATTCTCCACTATCCGACTGCAAATCACTATGACTGGCACAGAGAATACAAAACACATTTGCCGTACTATCCACAACATTATAAACTACTATAGATATATTGCAGGGGAACCTAGCAAAATTTGTAGAGGACCTAGATATTCGAAATAACCAAAAGAACTTGCACTCAAATCGGTCCTGCACTTGTGCCTGATGCGGGTCACAATTAATGCACTTTTAACCAAGCGGTGCGCTGTCTTCATGGCAAAACGCTGAGATTTAAGAAGAAAACGAGGTAGTACAGTAGAATAGAATAAATATAATTGAATAATAGAATAAAGCGCGCTCAACAAAATTTAATCGAAACAACAGTTGCACTGTGAAAACTCACGCAAATCATATCATTCACATCTTCCGAGTCTACCGATCCGTTACTCGACGACTCTCCAGTCGCCTCCTTCTCAAGAAAAACATCCACCTGGAACATACATATATCTAGCCAGAGAAACCAGTTACAAGACCCTAGGAACGAACCTCAGCCTCCACTTTCTCTGGCGGATCGTGTTTAGCTTTTCCTTCGCTAGTGACTGGTTTGTCATCTTCGGATTCCGCTTCGGTACACTCACTAGCTGCAATTTCGGTAGCAGTCTTCAATGGTTTTGGTCGGAGCACTCGCCGCGTTTTCACCAGGCTCTTTCGATATTCGGCAGTAATGCCAAATCTGTTGGGTTCTTTCTTTTCAATTGTTGGCCAAACGTGATCTTTGTTGCACTGAAAAAAAAACAACGTATTTCGACGCACATACGCGAGTTTGACATTGAAATTGGGGAGGTGGGAGGAAACGCTTATTGGGGAGGTGGGAGGGGATGAAAATCGGAAAGAGCTTACAACTTAGGAAAAAATATATTCGAAAGGATAATGGTGAATCGCAAACAGGGAATATTTCACATTATCTCGACCTCTATTAGCAGAACACCTGAGTAATCTGGATTTGAATGGAGAGGGAGACCAACCTCAAACAGCTTGTACTCAGCATCGTAACCTCCACTAGCACCGTCTCTGATCCGCTTATCACGTAGAGGAGGAGGAACCTTGAATGAATTATGATAAACCGCAAGCACTTTGCGTTCAAACAGGCACTTACGTGGTTAATCAGATTGCCATAAATACGAAACGGTCGTCGTTCCTCTACTTCACCTCCATCGTGTTCGGGAATCTTTGGTAAAGGAAGAGGAGGATCATGGTGTGGCAAGCCCATCTTCTTCAGATATCGCTGCACCAACGCATTACTCCCTTGGAATTTCCGGTCCCAGTAGAATGCTGCAACATTATACTTCACTTTGAAGAGAACTATGATAACGAAGACACATTGATAAATGGCTGCTTTCATGCAAAAGACGCTATTCGTTATCTGGCCGATCTCATGAATAAAGATTTGTGATTGACTTTGGGTGAAACGTGTAAGCTTGTTAGCTAAGCCAATTCTGACTGCATGAAAGTCATTGATCAATGTGTCTTCGTTATCATATTCTCTTCAAAGTGAAGTATAATGTTGCAGCATTCTACTGGGACCGAAAATTCCAAG